CAAATTTATTTCAGCTTTTCTCTTTTTCAGTCTTCGATACTGTTTTTGATTGACCGGAATCGTACCATAGAGAATGTTAAGCGCAACTTCACACAGAGTTAAAATGAATTCGTTGGATGCCGATTGTAAAATAAGGCGGCGTTGTTTAGGAGACGCTTTATGTAGTAGTTTTAAAACCGGCAGATGCTTACAAAGTCTGGCGGACATAATGATTTATTACGTTCTTCTTCTTTTTTTCTGGATATAAACCACCTGTCGTTCTGAAAGCACCCCTGTTCTGAGACGGTATTGTTCAGGAGTTTTTGCTTTATAGTCTATCATTAGATAACCAAAGGGTTGACTGGTTGCATCGTTATAACATTCCATAAAGTATTTCGTATTTCCGGGATACATTTGTCGTCCTAGCACCGCTACTTGATTGACATCCCGAGGATTTTTAAACAGTATCATGTAATTGGTGTTTAAGCTGATGGTTCGACTGGATTTACCCTGAACAAATAGATTTTGCACTATATAGATGGCGCTGAGATTGCGATGGTGCACGTAATTAGTAAAAACTCTTTGAAGTTCAGAGTTGGCGCTTGCTTGCTGCATTAGATCATCCACAATTAGAAGATTTGTTTTGTTGACCGGGAGTAAATCATCATCATTCAGACTCTGGGGTATTCCTTCGATAAATTTAATGTCATACAATTTAAGCAATTCATTGTACAGAGGTTGCCAACAATCATACAAAAAAAAATGTTTTCAATTTTCTCGGAAATCAAATTCAGACCTTTTTCCAACAAAAGTTTTACAAAATAAGACTTTCCAGAATTGGATGGCCCGCTTATAACACAGCTAAATGGATGTTGAAACCTGAAATCAAAATCGGAGACAATCCTTTCCCCTCTGTTTGTCATCGACTCAGTAGCCATAAGGGACTGTGGTGAAATCGGGTAAAAGCCTGCGCTTATTATACACCACCTTAAACCTTTTAGCGACTGATTTGTTGTGCAATGTGAGAGTCTTTTTATTCCTCACAATATTTTCAGTGTAAGCCATGATGTATTGTGTGCTATCGTGCGACGACACATAGCTGTCAACCAAACCAATCAGCGTGTCTAAGCGAATAGCTTGGGAATTTTTTGCATTCAGCGTTATCCCCTTGGCCTTCATGCACACTTTACCTTTGACGGTCCGAAACCCGTACGATTTAGGCCCGCTAGAGCAAAACTCCGTAATATAGTCGCCGTCATCTATTTCATTCGTCAACTCTCCCAAATGATCCCCCAGAGGGGGTTCCCAGTCCCCGTCCCTAGATACGAATATTACGCTATCTGTGTCAGAGTATAGCACTCGATCGCCGAGTTTGTCCATCAATTCGTAGAGCTCCAATCGAGCATGAGCCGTTGTAAACGCGCCAACAAATACGTTAATGTCTCGCGTCTTACAAACATCGCCTTTGGCTGGCTTATGCTGAACGAGAGCTACGTCGTCTGACACAAATGTGAAATATGTCAGTGTGTCGGTATTACCAAAAACGATTCTGGTGAATTCTTCGGGGTCATTCACCAGACTAGTTTGCGGTAGTTGTTCGCGCATGGAGAACCGGCCCCACAGAGCATTCAGCAGTAATTTGTTGATAGATCTCTGCGCGGGGTTGTACTTAATCTTTTCGGGGTCGAGGTGAATATCCTCTTTTTCAAAATACTCTTGAATGTACGCCGCTTTCTCAGCGTCTGTGACGACGTTTGACGGATACCCCGACGCCTGTTGCTTCAATCGCAAAAAAGTTTTTACATAGTCGCCAAACAGTGTATCTGACCGCTGTGGAAAGTGCCAAACTTCATCTATCTGGGCTATCGTATAACCCTTCTCGACGGCTTTTAAAAGCTCGATACTAACCCAACAGCCCGAGAGGGATCTCTGATCGTCTGTGTGATTACAAGCAGTAGTCTGATTTTGGTCGTGTGCACATGTTCTACACAATGGGAACATGAGCTTTCCACCGCATCTGTAAGGGAGAACCGGATGTAGTAATTTGCGTGGCGGGTATACGGTCGCTTTGACAAGCCCGTAGTAATTCTCAATCGACTCAAAATCTTTTAAAATAATTTGTGGATGATCGATCGGATAGCTTTTCCTAGCCTGACAGAAGGGGTATAAGCTGGTAAAATCGACGTAACTTATTTTCTCACCGTCGCTAACCTTGTGATAGAGTTTATAAGCATTAGTACGTCCCCCAAACAGCGCATCTCGCGGTTTCAATCTCTCTGGGGGCGTATAAGTGCTCATAAACTCTATCACAGAGGCGTTGGTCTTTTTCATTCTACCCCATTCGCATTCCCAAAGTACTTCGATTTGCAAACCGTACGCATTCTGCAGAATCTCAACCTTTTCGTCAAACTGTCTCCTGAGAACGCCAAAGGACACTCCAGACATGGGGTGTGTATGGTGGGGCTCAAAGCGACAGTTATGTCCATGAAAGAGGCAACCATTGTATTCTAACCCGCGCTTCACGCCATCCTGTTCATAGTAACCGTCTAAAAAGTAGTTGCCGAATGATACTTCACCATAGTTTACAGCATGGTGAATGTCGACGTTTCGAGTCTTTTTTAGATATTCGAGCCACTCAATAGAACCGGCTGAGTAGGACTTGGTCTGGTGAACGTACGCGTTATTATGAGTGAGAGCCAACGTATTTTTCTCGAGATAATGTGTCTTGAAGACACCCATCGAACAGCTAGCGAGTGTCGTAAACCTGAAAGGGTCAAGCTCGGTGCATTGTATGAATGCTTCCCGGTATTTCATGCACCCCTCGCGCAACAAAACAACATCGTTAACGCCGTACGCATACAGCTCTTTCTTGAAGTCAAACCACTCACCCTCAACAGTGCTGTACCACTTATCAAACTCTTCGCGACCTTTATCGGACATGTTATCGTAGTTATAGAACTTTTTGTCGGGGTATGGTCCAAAATAGTTTTCATTTTCCACTCTGTTGAAAAGATGTGGAAAGTAGCCTTTTTCAGCGGTCGTCAAGTCTAACGCACTGGGCATTTTCGCGAGACCCATTGGTATGAAAGCATACGAGTCTATGTATCTCTGTTTAAAAGACTGATCGTACATGAAAATCAATTTACACCCCTGCATTATAACGTCAAGCACGAGCCCGGCCTTGCAAAAATATTGCAGAAGTAGAAAAGAATCAAATTTTGAAGCATAATGAGCTATGAAGCAATAGCCTTCATAACGAGGCTGTCTGAAATGGGTGATTAATCGCGCTATACAGTCGACCCCCTCTGCCACAAATTTCTCACCTTTGAATGTGATAGCGCAAACAAAATTGGCTACGTGTCTCCCATTCTCATAGCGCGTTTCAAAATCATAGAAAATGTATTTCTCACAAGCTTCCTTAGGCCTGATGGGCTGTATAAAGCATTGGTGAAACCCCGAGGTTGTGAGAAGCTCGCGGCAATGGACGCAACGTTCGGGCGGGCATTCGTGCTCTGTTTTTTTCGCACCCCGTTTAACGTCGTAGCGTCTATTACAACGATTACAATATTTTATAACGGAGCAAGGGGGGTCTTCATGACCATGAGGCGTTTTTTTATGCATTTCATAGCAATAGCTCGATTTACAGTACCGCAGACAGTCGGCGCAATGTACTGTTCTTTTAGGGAATCTGTAACATTCAGCGTCGAAGCATACGTCGCAGGCATGTTTACAACGATGATTTTTCCGACTTGTGTATCCTTTATAGCAAAATTTACAGACGTAATCTGCTCCGATGAAAGCTGGCAAATTCAGGATCATGTAATAATGAGCATCGTTATGCAGGTAGAGACAAACCGTTTTTGGGTGGGGGTCATCGTGGTTTCTGTACGTTTCTAAGGCTCCTGCATTCGATCTGTGAAAAACAACGATTTTAATACCTAGCGCTTGTTCAAACGATGCTATATCGCTAAGAGCTATTTGGTCTTGGTTCGTGAATCCTGCGTTGTTTTGGACGGCTGTAGCCACTTTCTCTAACTCGATCTCGGGTAATTGGGGATAGAGAAATCGCGCGAGACAAATAGAAAAGCACAAATTATTTGAAATATTTGCGGGGCAAAATAAACTAGTCTTTTTTCTCTTGATTACCTGATCGACAGCCAGATCTGTAAGTTTACGACGAACCCCACCACGTCTGCTCATGACTACGGTAGCGTCAAACTCCATGGCTTCGTCCGATAAAATCTGATCGTTACTCTGCACGACTTTTTCAATTTGGTCGAGAAATGCATCGATATCGTAATTATTTCCGGATGTTAAAACACTGCTGACGGGGGTTTGTAAACTCGGGGCCGACACGGCCATGTTAATCACTGGAGATTCACCTCCGATATCTCTGGCAAACGTAACAATATCGCTCAAAGTATCGTGTAAGAAAATGTGATAAGCGGCCAGATCTGTAGAGTTAATCTCTCTCAGATTCATGGTCCGTCTCAACGAGACACTATTGAAACGAGGTCGCGGTAAAACGTTGTATCCGTTTACAAATCCGCCGTTCCGAATCAAAGCATCAATGTCTGTACGACTTAATCGCTCGTCTATAAGAGTATCAGGATCACTAGTAGCCGAATGTGAAGTATGGATATTACCTGAAGGGGCTGCTGGGTTGGTAGTCGATGGTCGTGAAGTATCAACACTTCCTATAGGGGGAGACATATTGCATTCAGGTATAGACACAGAATCATCATTACCAACACAATCTTCCGTATGATTACACTCAGGACCTGTAGGGGGATCAGCACTGTCGCATGATACAGTATGGTTATTTAAAACACCACCATATTGTACAACAGGAGTGTTGTGTGCGTTTAATAGTTCTTGCAAGCGTTCGCTCAAATTACTATTTGGTGATTGATTCACAACGATTTCTAAAAAGGCTAGATTAATAGCGTGTTGTGATGGTTCAACATTATAAGTCCGCTCTACAGAATCTGGAAACATACTTATCATTTGTTGTAATCTATTGGATATGTAATTGGGTTTCTCAATTTGTTTTTCAAGCACAGCCTGCAACATGTGCGCGAGAGATTGGTCTGATTGACAATCGTCTGTATCGTCTACACAAAAACATTTTGACTCTTCCATTTTTGGATCAAAAGTAATATTGACAGCAAAATTGTGAAATATTGTAGAGTATAATGTATAAACAATGATTCAAAGAATGTAAAATCATAACATGATAGGTAAAGAAAAAACAACCACACTCAAAGTTTAATACATGAAAAAAAAAAAAAAAAAAAAAAAAAAAAGCACAAATGGACGTATTGTCAGATAAAAAAATCGATAATCATGTTATCTAGTCTGAATGCAACCTGTCACACAAGATACTTAGAAGATGAACCATAACCCTTCGCTCTTGATGGTCTTCGTTTAAAATGTTAAAGACCCGTACAAAATTTTCAGTGCTGTCTGCATGCATATTATAATCACGATTCTCTAACACCAGATTCTGACGCTGTAAACCGTCGCTTATATGACGAATCTGTACATCAATACGGCTATAAACCTCCTCGATAAACTGTTCCAATCTGTTACGCAACCCAATCTGGAATGTTTCTAAACTGTTACAAATTAAATTGTGTAGCATTTCATCATTATCAACATTATCATCATCATCATCATCACTCGCTGGCTCTGGCTCTGGCTCTGGTTCTGGCTCTGGTTCTGGCTCTGGCTCTGGTTCTGGCTCCGGCACTATTTGTGATTCATCTTCGTCCGCATCTGCCGTTGGCTGGTGAAAAGGATATGGCGTTTGACGCCCTCTCACCGACGCCTCATCATAGTGGCCGCTTCCGTGGTCGCTCCCCCAAGACCCGCTTTCCCAGGCATTCAACTGTGAAGCAGTCCAATTAGCCACGTCATCTGTGCTTCTAACATTCACAACTGTATAGAAAAAGAAAATATTAGTTTAGTCATTGTTCAGAGTATCTAAACAAATTATTATTATTAGCATTTGTAAATATTAGACAGTCATACCATCAATCAGTTCGATTCCAGGAGTGCTAGCAGGGCTATAACCATCAATGTTTCGCCTCTTTCTTGAAGGCTCACCACCAGGGCTGGAGGTTTGGCTCGGCGTCACACTACGACTAACTACACCACTGCAGCTCGGAAGCTGTTCCTCTTGAGTCAGATCAATAATAGCGCGATGGTCTACAGATTGATCCAATTCTATAAAGCAAAATAAAATGATTAAATTTATCATAAACATTAATAATTATTACAAGTATCACATTAAAAAAAGAATCTTCTTACCATCGTTGTCGGAGTCATATAATGCGGGGCTTGAATCATCAGTCTTTCTCCGCTTCCCAAGAACTCTGCTGCTGGGTCCGGGTCTCTGGCTTTGTCCCTCACTGCTAGAATTAGAAGCACGTCCGTTTCGTCTGACCACGACGCAGCTACTGCGGGGCTGTTCTTCTTCTTGAGTCAGATCAATAAAGCCAGGCGGAGTTACAAATTGAACCAGATCTGTAAAAATATGAAATAATAATAAGAATTAAAATTGACGCATGCATTAAGATCATTAAGAATAATATGCAGAAATGATTATTATTCTTTTACCATCATCTGACACGTCCAAATCAATCTGAGGCACAGATACTGCGGAGTGAAAGGAGAGGACAATATTAAAAATATAGTTTACAAGAATTATAAAGATTATAGAATATATATATTATTAAAATTAACATTTCCTCACATCTATCGATCGCGTCGAAGGCACGCTGCTCTACGATTCCTAAGGAATATAAACCCCTATTATGATTGAAACATTTGATGAGTTTTTTTTTTTTCACCAACAGTAATTAATAAATCTACATACTAATAACATTCACCAAAACAGATTACCGCTTTCAACAGCAAGAGAAAGAAATATTAGTGTCAGAGTCTAGAATAATCTTCTTTTTTTAGCACCACTTCTTTGAAGACACACACACACACACACACACACACACACACAGGCACTTTCAATGATAAAATATACTCCATCTCTCTCACTCACACATACACAGACACACAGAGGCACTTTCAATGATAAAATATACTCCATCTCTCTCACTCTCTCACACACACACACACACACACACACACACACACACAGGCACTTTCAATGATAAAATATACTCCATCTCTCTCTCACTCACACATACACAGACACACAGCGGCACTTTCAATGATAAAATATACTCTCTCTCACACACACACACACACACACACACACACACACACACAGACATAACCAGTCTGAGATAAATCGATTGTACCAGTTAAAACAAATAATAAAAAGATATATTCAATATGAAACGGCATAATTTCTTTGTAAACACACAATGTCATTACATGCACCACCACTAGAGCCCGCCATTTCAAATTAAACCATTATTATCAATGCATCCGCCCCTGTAGAGGGAGACATCGTGCGCCGTAGTCCCGGAACCACAATAGCGCTGCATCCCGCCCTGTAGAGGGCATTAGCGTGTGCAATACTCGGTGTGCCACATAGCATTTTAGCACATAGCTACATGTTGGCTAACAGCTAATACTTCTGAAAATATGCATTGTTTAAACATTAGACATCGTTAGAAAATCCAATATAAATATTATTACTGGGGCGCCGCTGATCCGTGAGAAGCTTTTTAAGAACGTTTAAGAACTGAAAGAAATGAACATACAATATCTGCATGTGAGCTAACTTAATACATTTTGCACTGATAAAAGTCCCTTACTACCACTATTTATTTCAATCCAGTTTCGCTACGATGACAACCAAAAAATACAACATCATTTTTCTAGAAGACCAATAAGATTACCCCACATTTTAAAATCATATACCAATAAAAACTCGATTGACCAGTAATATTAAAAAACAAAACAAAAAAACACGATTGTAAACATAACAGTATACAACTGATATAAGTAACCATAACAGTATATAAACGATATAAGTAGCCGTAACAGTAACTGCTGTATGATAGTTGCAAAACTCGTGTTTCAAAATGTGAAAACATGCTTGCATAATTTCGTATAAACACCATTAGAGATTAGTTCGCTGTATAACCATTACAAATGTATCAAAATAAACGTAAGGAGCACATCAAAATAAAGTCGACGTGTTAATTCACGAATATTAAATCAAGCACGCCAAACATTACAATATCTAAATTTAAACCTCGAAATAGAATCATGTCAGAAAACGTTGTTTAATTAATATTATTCACAATCTCTTAAAAGAAATAAATAAAACGATTACCCCACAACAGAGCATAATATAATTATAACGCAATCACTTACCATTTTTTGCAGACATTGTGGACGATGGAGAGAAGATGACAAACTTCGTCAGGGATTTTTTTTTTCAAAGTTGTTGGTTTTGGCTGTGTGCCCACAGTATTTAAGCTCGTCTCGAGAGATTATGCGATTGGCTGCTTGCCCATCATATCATGTCCGTACATGGCAGCGAGTGACCGGTAGATGTCCTCAACACTCCATGCGCTGTCACTGCGATTCAAATGACATCCCACCCCCGAGGCCATGGCGAGTATAATACACAATGACGGCTTTCAGTGCACATAATTTTACGACGTAATTTAGATTACAGAAAATTTAAAGATGCTGCACAGAGACCATGAAAACATCATGCTATTTCATATTGATGTTAGAGTTCTATTGTGTATTTTAAAATTAGATTTCCAGGGTAAATCAGGGAAAAATTAGATTTTCAGGATTAACATCACGCAGCCTATCTTTTGCGATAAAAATATGTTGTACTATCCGCAGGCGTTGGAAATGTATCAATGACTATTTCATGGATCACAGCCACATGATTTTTAATGATTTAATTTATGCTTTTTACTACGATATGGAATTAACACTAATCGACCACATGTCTCCTTCTGATCACCGAACACACACACACACACACACACAAGCATCTTAAACGAGAGTGTGACAGGAGAACTGTCAGTATCTTACATTCACAATATTAAACACAACCCATTCATGAATTGTATTTGGACAGCTGTGTGTTAGGAGCTACTTCTTCAAATCTCTAAAACATGTAAGATGAGTTTATTTTTTGTTTAAAATAATTGGATCTGTAGATGTTTAGAAAGACATTTGATATTTTCAAACCATTTAATTCATATCATAGAATGGTTTTCAACTTCAGTGTGGATTAGTATATTTATACCATTTTAAAGAATGTTTTTCCAAACTAGTTAGTATGAAATATCTGCAACTGACTAAATGTAAATAACCATGTCATTTATACAATTTTATTGAATGTTTTTAAACTTTAGTGTAAGACTTATGATATTCTCACTTTCTCCTTCCCCACCAATCCCCCTCTCCTCTGAAATGTGGTGGGACGAACCCGTTCAAACATAAAACCTTACATCATATCAATGTTTCCCTTATAATCACAAGGACCAGAGATCCCCTTCGAACATAAATCTTACATCATATCAATGATTCCCTTATAATCACGAGGACTGACGCATGCCACGCCTATTATTCAATTACACGACAGGTCATATGACACAAGGTCACCACAGGTCAAGGTCACCCAAGGACGCAGGGAGGAGGGGCCGGGTCAAACACAGGGCACGGGGAGGGGGCGGGTCAAAGGTTAATGGGTTAATTAAAAACCCATTAATCATTTTGACACATAGTCCATCATATCACTACTCGCACGCGTCTGTGCCATTCCTTTTTCCATTTATTCACACACAGACACGCTTTTCATATTTAAACAGTCTTTGTACCGTTTACAGACACTATTCAATAAAGCGATTAGAACAAAGCACTTTTAAGAATAAATGACTTACTACATCAGCTGAATCCGTGCACCTCGAAACGAAACTACCAGCACTTCTGAGGTAACTTTTCCACAATTATTACATAGTATTATTCTTCACTGCGCAGCAAGATGAGATAAAGGTAAGGACGAGGTAAGATTTCTATTAAACTGGTGTTTTATCCAGTTGATGTGGGCGTTCTCATGACTTGCCTCAACATTAGCATTTGAATAGCGCACGCTCTCAGTGGGCGTGGTCACAATATGCTATAATTAGGTGAAAATTAACTCTTTTCATACAGATTACATCAACTGAGAATAGTTGTTTTTTAATATAAATTACTTAATTTAAAAGAAGGGAATTTTAACTTCATAAAGAGAAATCTTTCGTTTCTCTGTGACAAGTATTTACTTAGTTACAGTTAATTTTTCAGACGCATTTCAGAATAAATGTCACTGACAGAGAAAAGGCTAAATGTGCATCACGTTTATTTTTCTTTATTTGTGCATACTCACAATAAAAACAAAGCAGAACACTTTGTTTTTATTTTGAGTATGCACAAAAAATAGACACTTAACAGGATCGAATGATGTATAACACTTATATGTAAGATCAAAATCACCAGAGTAATTTGAGTCTCTTTTGCACTTATAAGAAAAAAAGTGAGCTGGTATCGCCGACCACAGAGGGTTAATGTTCATTTTGATATGCTTGTCTTTGTAAGTCTTTGATAATCACAGTTTCTGTGTTTTGTCTTTCAGTTACAGTTGTAAGTGTCTTTGATTTGTCTTTGAGCAGGTATCGTCTTAGACGTGCGACTGCGCTGACTGCACAGAACCAGGACGAGAATTTTGTGAGCCGGTCTCTAAGGCTTGTATATTTAACCGTTTCTGTGCTTAGTGTCTGCACCTTTCTAACCTCTGGGTCTCCTACTGGAAGTACAGCGGTCTCATTTGTTGAAGGCTGTATTTTCTTTTCCCACGGGAAGTGAGGGCCAGTGAACCAATTAGATGAAAGCAGTTCATTTACAGATGTGCCCCTGAATGCCATATCTGCTGGGTTTTCGTTAGGCACATAAAACCATTGTTGCAGTGAGGTACTGTTGCAGATTTTCTGCACTCTATTAGCAACAAACGTCAAGTCAAGTCAAGTCACATTTGTTTATATAGCGCTTTTCACAATACAGATTGTATCAAAGCAGCTTCACAGTGATAACATGAAAGTAGCACAACACAGATCAACAACATTGCTAAACACTAAATAACCCCAACTGAGCAAGCTCAAAGCAAGCCAAAAGCAAGGCGACAGTGGCAAGGAACCAAACTCCATCAGATTGGATGGAGAAAAAACCTTGGGAGAACCCAGGCTCAGTCGGGGGCCAGTTCTCCTCTGGCTTACATTCATATTGTTTAAATATAAATATTAAGTATAAATATTGTTTATGAATCAAACGGCGCCATAACATATCGCAGGCGTTGAGTCGTCTCATCACAGGCGTTGAGTCGTCTCATCACAGGCGTTGGGGCATCCGAAATCCCCGTGAGAGGCTGGACACAAAACTGGACCTGACGAACGCCATTTTTCTCGGGACAAGCGTCCCGAGATAACAGCAGAAAGGCAGATGGGAAATAATTAGCATATCTGATGTTCATAATGATTTCCGTTATAACTCACAAACTCTCCGTAACCTGAACTCTCCGCAACCCAACCATACGCGCCGACTAGGGTGACCACCTGCTAATAAGCCCAAGGGGGGACAAGGGGTATGTTTCTGAGGGACAATGTGGGACACTGCTTGGCGCGGCGGTGCCCCCATCCCACGGGCAGACTCTGATAGTGGTTTACCCCTATCTAGAATTGTTACTATTGCCTTACTGTTTGTACATGAATAATTGTTAAAAAAAAGCACATACCTTAGCACATACATTAATAATGCCCTATTCCCTAAACATGTGTAATTACTGATATATGCTCATGAATAGGCCAACCAATGTGTATTTTTTTTTCTAAATAAAATGAATATTTGAACATTCAATGAATTGACAGATGCACTTCCACTAACGATTTACTTTAGCTATTTAATTTTATTTATTTTTCATTACAATTAATTCACTTGAAATAAATAAAAATATAAAATTATAGGATTAACAGGAATTATAGTTCAACACCACAGGAACAGTTTTAAAAAAAAAGTCGAAAAAAAGTCTAAACTCACAACTCCAGAGGTTCACGGAACGACAAGGTGTGCTGTCATGACAACAATGAAAAAGTTGACATCAACCTAGTCAGCAGGTCACGTGGGAGTGGCAACCAGTCTTGGGGAAGTTCTCACTTTCTGAACTAGTTCAAAGTTTAGTTCACACATTTTAAAATGAACTAGTTCAGTTCAAAGTTTGCACAGAAATGTAAGATTTTTCCCATCTTCACCGACCTCGTTATAAAATCCGTTTAAATTATCATATGACGCCTTTGTCGACGGCGGCCGCGCGGTGCGACACTAGTGGCTTGTGTTGCCAGATTGGGTGTTTTTTTCGCTACATATTAAACCCTGTTTACGTTGAGTTTTAGCCGGGCTGTCGCCTGGAAGGCTCTATAGAAATCTGGCACCCCATTGAACGAAGTTAAAATGAGAGAGCGTGCGTTCACAGACACCAGAATGAACGAGTTAACTAATCAGGACAGGCAGTAAAACAATACGTTCAGTTCACCCACAATATGAACGAGTTCAGGCACAACGTTTGGCTGCCTGGGTCTCGAGGATATAGACTGACCGACTTTTTTTTTTTTTGAGCAAGCATTGATTATGCGTGACACGGTCTCAATTTGCGGGACGCATGAATTGGGCTTCAAACGCTGTGCGCGCACGCGCTACGCGGGACGGGTGGTCACCCTAGCGCCGACCCGTTTGTCTAAAAGGCTGTCGAGCCCCACTGGTGCGTTAAGCAGTTTCAGTGGCAAACGGTTCCGTATGGCATAACAGAGGACTAGAAGGTAAGCATTATGTGAATGCTTGACTAAAGAGATGCGTCTTTAATCTAGTTTTAAACTGTGTCAGCGAGTCAGAGGCTCGGACCGTATCGGGAAGGCCATTCCAGAGTTTTGGAGCTAAATGCGAGAACGCCCTCCCTCCTTTACTGGACTTCGATATCCTAGGAATGACCAGAAGCCTTGAATTTAGTGATCTTAAGGAACGCGGTGGATTGTAGGGCGAAAGAAGGTCCGTTAAGTACATAGGTGCTAAACCATTTAGGGCTTTATAGGTCAGTAGTAGTATTTTGTAGTTGATGCGGAACTTAATAGGTAACCAGTGTAGAGATGATAAAATCGGTGTTATATGATCATATTTTCTTGACCTAGTAAGAACTCTAGCAGCTGCATTTTGTACTAACTGTAGCTTGTTTATTGAGGATGCAGGACAACCGGCTAATAAAGCATTACACATGTGAACTAATTTTTCTGCATCAGAAATAGATAGCATGTTACGTAGCTTAGCAATGTTTCTAAGGTGGAAAAAGGCTGTTCTTGTAACATATGAAATATGATTTTCGAAAG